AGGTTTTGTTTGTTAGATGCTAGGTAGGTGAGTGAAGGTCTTAGAGAGTCAGATGTGTTAACTTTGTGGGTTTAGGTTTGTTTTCGTGGCAATACAGTGGAAGTTTTAATAGTGTTGTTGTTTTTTTATTGGATTATAAAATGAACTGTTAGTTGAAGGGTAATGTTATTCTGGACGTTAACAACGTTGTTTACCCCAAATTTAACAAATTCAGCGTCAGTTGAAAGACCAGTAGCAGTAATTACAAACTTCCTCGGACCAGAGTTTTCCCCAGACGTGAAAAATTCCTGTCGGGATAGAGTCCGAGACCCGTCCCAAAGATTCACCTGCTCCGGAATGTTGTCTCCAGTGAGCAAGGTCCTCCACGGCAGGCGCCCACTGTGAAAACACACAGCCCGTGAGAAGGATGGCAAATGCTCTGATCCCAGAGACGGTTCTAGAATTATTTGTGATGTGCCAGAGGACAGGGTCGTGACCCCAAGGAAGGAAGCAGACCAGATCGGTCAGTCTCACACGTGTTTTGCCCCAGGGCCATCCCTACTGGTGGACATAGGGGAGGCACGGACCCCGAGACCTGGCTAGAGAGCCCCCGGGGGAGGCAGAGCATCTTCCCTGTCTTAATGCCCAGAGACCTTGAACCCAAAGCAGGGATCCTGCATTTGCATAGTGAGGATCGCACGCAGTCACTCGCTCTGGGCCCTGATCCTCCTGCTCTCCCCGAGCACCGGAGCGTGGCTTCCGGGCATCCAGGCGTCTTGTGGCCGAGAGCAGGTGGAGAGAGCCCCAGTTGGAGAGGCGGAGGGCTTGCCCGCTTCGTGACTCCCCAAGGCCTCGCTCGGCCCTGATATCCGAGGACGGTGGTGTCCTTGGTTGTACCTGCAGGTGATGTTTGTTTGCCCTCACCTCCCAGAATAATTTGCTGCTAATGCACCCCCAACATAGTGGGGCACAATACCGGGTGCCACCTTGCCATTTAATTGTTAAAACTGTGGCACCCCGACCGGCTCATACTTGGCCTTATGAAATTAGCGGCATGTACCAAACCCGTGGATGCAGGGGAAGATGGTGCGTGGCTAATTCCCTTCCCCACCATTTTTGTTCTAACATTGACCCCAGGACAGCATTTTTTTTTTAGGTTTATGTATTGTGCATGTGTGTGTGTGTGTGTGTGTGTGTGTGTGTGTATGTGTGAGAAAGACAGAGAGAGAGCACATGTGTGAGAAGGGAGGTGCAGAAAGACAGAGGGAGAGAGAGGAGCCCAAGCAGGCTCTAAGCTGTCAGCACAGAGCCTGACATGGGGCATGAACTCACAAACCATGAGATTGTGATCTGAGCTGAAATCGAGGGTCAGACACGTAACTGACTGAGCCAGGCCCGAGGACAGCTTTAAGTGCTTCCCGGTTCTGTTCCCGTGTCAGCTTCTTGTGGGGCCTTCGCTCCTGTTTGGTTTCACCACCTCCTACCAACAAAATTGCCACGTAAGTGTGTGGCAACCGAGGCCGGAAGGGACTCAGGGGAGGGTGGCAGGTAACTACCTAAACGAGGCCCTGGCTCGCAGCTCCTGGACGCAGGGCGTCCAAATCTCCTCTAAAACACGCGTGAGGGCACAAAAGAAGTGAAAGTCGACAGCGCTGAAAAATAAGCTGGGCGGGGAGGGCTTTGCCCGAATCTGGCAAGCCTTTCCAGTCACTGAGATGTCAGCTTTCTCGGTTCGGAGGTAGACTGGAGCCTCGAGGGGCGATCTTATGCCGGGGTCTCTCGGAAGCGGTTCTGATCCGCAGCCGGTGAGGCGCCCAGACCAGGCGGGTGACCGTGGGCTGGGGAATGCAAACAGCAGGCCGTGCTTGACGTGCAAATGAAAACACAGCACGTCACCACCACAAAGCGAGACCACGGCGGCGCTCCTCGCAGGGAAGCCCGGCCCGCGGTGCGGGAGTGTGAGTTGCACACCTCGCAAACACCTCCCCCCTCCGGAGGCCACACTGTTGCTCTCCCAAAGCTCCATTCCAACCGTTTCCAACCAAGCGCTCTTTCTGGTCATGGAATCCGGGCCACGCAGAACAGAAGCGTCTGGCGGTAGGTTGTGCCCGAGGAGCTACAGACGCTGCCACGAAGCTCCCTACGAACAGAGCCGGGAGCAGAAGAGGTTTGATAGATGGACAACGAATATTTCGCCCAATCCTGCCCTTGGGCATCCGGAGCAGCCCAGGGAGTAGCAAACTTCCTATTTTGTTTTTCCAGAAACACATCTGTAAATAAACACCTGGCAGACACCAGAGGGTGGGCTGGAAGGTCCGCCTGGCCCAAGGCATGCGGCGGAGGTGACCGGAAGCAGGGGGACTCTGCCAGGTGACGAAAGTCCTGTCTGAAACGACAGCATCTCTACTGAAAAGAGAAACAGAGGGTTTGCGGCGTGGGAAGAAATGGTGCGAATTAAAACGTGGAGAAATATTAGCTCTAACAATGGGAAGCCACCTTTAGAAATACAAGCAGTGTAGTCAGGAAAGCGGTGTCTAAAAAGCTGGACCCCAAAACGCTAAGTTGGAACGGACTGATCTAACGTGGGGCGCAGGAGAGATAAGCAACAGCACAGGACAGTGAAAGGAACAGAAGTCCAATGACAAACGTGCCCTGAGCAATCACAGGCCGCGTTGGCACTGTGAGGGATTTAGGGGAATCAGAATAAGCTTGCCCAGAATGGAGAGTGCGTCTTCACATGCAAACCAACCAGGCCCTTGCTCCTGTCATCGTCTGTCATCACGCGGTTCTGCCCGATGGTCACAGAACAGCTCCAGACTCTCCTTCCAAGCTCACACGGGAAGGAGCCAGCATCGGTCCTCAAAGTAGTTTAATGTCCTGTGACCACGTGGAGAAGACAGCATCTTTCAGTCTTTTGGGGGACGTTGGCCACATGTTTGTTTTACGCAGCCGGAACTGGGTTCTTTCCGCTTGGCCCCACAGCCTCATCCAAAACTCTCAGGCAGGGTCCTGAGGGCTTCACGGGAAAGAAAATCCCCCTGGACGTAAATTCCTTGCTGTAACCAGCGTCTCGCCTCCTCTGGCCACCTAAGGTCCGAACAGAACTGAGCCCGTAGCTCTTTCCACAAGCTGGTTTTCTTCTCCGAGAAAAGCATCTGTCCTTCAAGCAAATGAGTTTGGGGCAGGCCAGCCTCGCTGAGTCCCAATCTATGGTAGACAAGCCTGGAGGTGTCATTTCCTAAGCAACTGTAAGTTGTTTCCGTTGTGGTCGTTGTAACTTGAAAAAAAAAGAAAAAAATCTTTTCTCCTAACTGAATGGGGCCTGTGACATATATATCAAAGAGTGAGATGTTCAAAATATTGTTAAAAATCAAAGGGTGCTTCTGGGAAGGTGGAATACCTGTTTGCCCTCTGTTCCTCCCATTAAACACAGGTACAAAATCTGGGGATTAAATGTGAAATGCACATAAGCACTCTCGGAAAGTGTGTCAGTACAGGGAGACCAGGTAGGGGCGGAGGGGTCCCTGAAAACCCAAGGGCGAACTCCCCGGCCTTTCTGTTTGCCTCCTTGCGTTAGGCCAGGGAACGTAAACCCAAGAGCCCGGAAGCAGGAACAGGTGCAGTGAGAAAAGCCCCTGACAAAAGAGAACGTTTTGAGACAATGATCAGTCTGCTCCAAAGACACCAGGCAGCGCAAAACAGAAAAAGGCACACACGTCTAGAAGAATAAAACTGTCCTTATTTGCAATGGCCCAGTTGTCTCCAGGAAAATCCTAGGGAATAACTCCCATGGACTATGAGATCGTGAAGATCTCAGGATTCGAGATAAAAATCAAACGATTTTTATGTGCTAGCAGTGAACATGTAGGCGCTGAAGTTAGAAACACAATACTTTGGGGCGTCTGGGCGGTTCGGTCAGTTGAGCGTCCGACTCTTGATTTCAGCTCAGGTCATGACCCCAGGTGGTGGGATCGAGTCCCTTGTCCGGCTCTGCACTGAATGTGGGGCCTGCTTGAGATTCTCTTTCTTTAACCCTCACCCCTCTCCCCAGCACCCCCCCTCCCCCTCTTTTTACAATAAAATTTTTTAAAAGTTTTAAAAAGAAACAAACAAATTGCCATCATTAAACAATAAAAGTACTCAATTATAAAGCTAAAAACTTTTTTAAACAAAAGAAATCTAAACAAGAAAACACACTGCTGATTACAGAAATCAAGAAGATCTAGATAAAGGGGGACACATGCTTCTATTTTGGAACGTACGACATAGTAAAGGTGCTAATTCTCCCCCAAATTGATACACGAGTTTCATGCAACGCTTCTTAAACTCTCAGCAAGGCTTCTTTGCAGACACAGGCAATACTATTCTAAAATTTGTACGGAGACTAGAAGAGCTAAAGGAATGTTGTTAATGGTTAAAGGAACTAAAATAGCTAAAAGAATTTTGAAAAAGAAGAATACAGGAACTCTTCTGCATACACTGGGGTGAATCAGTCTATGCAGTTTCAAGATGTGTAACGTTGCTATAGGCATCGAGGTGGTGTGGTGTGGGTGAACAAAGACACAGAGTTCAATAGAATGTTGTAGAGAGTCTGTAAATGCACTCATACAAATATGCCCCTGTGATTTTTGTTTTGTGTTTGTTTGTTTTTTAATTTTCATGTATTTTTGAGAAAGAGTAAACAGGGGAGGGGCAGAGAGAGAGAGAGAGACAGAGGATCTGAAGCCAGCTCTACACTGACAGCATTGGCCCCGAGGCAAGGCTCAAACCCATGAACCGAGGGATCGTGACCTGAACCAAAGTCAGACACTTAAATGACCGAGCCACCCGGGTGCCCCGCTACGTGAGTTTTGAAAATGGTGCAAAAACAATTTGGGGGAAAGAACCTTTCAGCAAATGGTGCTGCAGTACTTAGACATCGTATAGGCAAAAAAAAAAAAAAAAAAAAAAAGAAAAGAAAAAAGAAACTCAACTTTATTCTCACATTTTATACAAAAACAAAACAAAACAAGACCACAAAATAACAAAAAACAAAAACCCTGCAAATGGACCACGGATTGAAATATAAAATATGAAGCTATAAAATTTTAGAGAAAATATGGAGGAAAACCTTCAGGATCTAGAACAAGTCAAAGAGTGCCTGAGATCCAACGCCAAAGGCACGATCCGTGAAAGGAACGCCTGATGTCAGACTTGCCCCCAATGCATGACTTTTTCACTGAGAAATATCCTGTTCAGAAAGCTTCCTGAGACACGGAAAAAGAAAAAAGAAAATAAAAATTCAGGTTGACATCAAACTTCTCAGCAGCAATATGACATGCAAAAAGCAAACAGAGTCCATTTCTTTCTAAAGAAAAGAACCTGAAACACATAGTTTATTATCTAGTGAAGCTACCGGATAAATTTGGACGTAGAATAAAACATTTTCAGTCATGCAGACTAAAAGGTGTGGGAACCTACAGTTGAAACTGTCATTGAGAACCTTCTTAAAAGGGGCGCCTGGGAGGCTCAGTCAAGTAAGGGTCCGAATTCGGCTCAGGTCCTGATCTCAGGGTTCGTGGGTTCGAGCCCTGCCTTTGGGCTCTGTGCTGACAGCTCAGTGCCTGGAGCCTGCTTGGGATTCTGTGTCTCCCTCTCTCTCTGCCCCAACCCTGCTTGTGCTCACTCGCTTTCAAAAATAAATAAATAAACATTTTTTAAAAACCAAATATTCCAGGAAACTGATGAATACATTTTCAAAGAAGCAATGAGAAATGAATCATATAATTAAGAAAGTGATCCGTGAATAACCTGGGGAAGTTTGCTGAACTTTCCAAAATGGACCCTGTACATCTTGGGGTGGCAGGAAAGGAACCATTGAATTAAAAAAAAAATGTTTAATGTTTATGTATCTTTTGAGAAGAGGGGAGGGGAAGGGCCAAATGAAGTAATCTTTCCATTCAGGGTGAAACTCTAGATATTTATAAGCTTTTGAAGTTACTGGGGGAAAATGCATCTAAGTTAGAGACACTATCAGAAAAATACAAATAGAATACATAGATACATAGAATACATAAATACAAATAGAATATATAGCTTTCCTAAGTGCAGAAAATGAAATCTATGCAGTGCAATTTAAAAAAGAAAAAAACAAACCTATCAGAATTTATAAAATAAGATAGCAAACTGAGTCTCATCGTGAGTGATCAGAATAAATACAAAGTGATACAAACATTCAAAAAATACAACAGTGTAGGTTGACATCATCAAGACGGCAGAACAGCAAGTCCCAGGCCCTCATCGTCCTGTTACGAAAGTAACTTGAAACCAACGTAGGGACGACATGATGTTTGTGAGAGCTTCAGACACCGCACAAGCGGTGAAAGCGCTCCAGGTGAACACACAGCAAAGAGGTAAGTGAGAACGTCCGTTCCTTTGCCCACCCCGGTCTCTTCTACTTTCCAGAGTAACGAAGCGCAGTTGGGAGAAAGCTCTCAACACCCGGCTTTCTCTCAGGATGAAAATACAATGGAATACCCATCAGTGTTTGGGATATTTGGGCCCTGACACAGGAACTGGTTGCCACCTCGCTGGACTTGCTGTGCTGAAGGGAGCAGAGGTATCATTGAGATGCCAGGTTGGGGTCCTTGGAGAATGAAGGTAGCCCCGAGCTGAACCAGAGAAACTGCAGTACCAAAGATAGACACCAGGTGGAGTAAGAGATTATAGGATTTTGAGAACAGGGAATTATCTATGCATATATAATTCGGATTCTGTCTCCCTCTCTCTCTGCCCCTCCCTGCTCACGCTCTGTCTTTCTCTCTCTCAAAAATAAATAAACATTATAAAAAAAACTATAGGATCATCTCAACTGATGCGGGAAAAAGCACTGGAAAAAATCTCAACATTCTTTCATCAAAAAAAAAAAAAAAAAAGACACTCAGAGCTAGGATAGAAAAAAACAATCACGACGTTAAAATAAAAAAGCCATATATGAAATAAAAAAGCTCACAGCTAACATCTTGCTCTAGTGGTGAAAGCCTGAGAGCTTTTCCTCTAAGATCAGGTATAAGTCAAGGATACTCCCTCTTACCACTTGTATTCAAGACAGTATTGGAAGACCTAGCCACAGCAATTAGTCAAGAAAAAGAAATAAAAAGCATCCAGATTGAAAATTAAAAAGCCAAATTATCTCTGTTCAGCGATGACACTGTCTCATCTATGGAGAACTTTGAAGTTTACTAAAAATATCTGTAAGGGCTAACAAACAGATTCAGCAAAGTTGAGATAAAAACAAACATCCTACAATGTATAAAGACTCGCAAAGGATCCTGAATAGCCAAATAGTCTTGGAAAAGAAGAGCCAAGTGGGAAGCCTCACGGTTCTTGATTTCTGAACATACTACCAAATTGTAATAATCAGAATAGTGATAAATCATGGCATAAAGAAAGACCTAGAGACGAACAGAACAGAAGAGAGTCCAGAAATAAACACTGTTTATACAGCAAATGATGGCAAAATCTTCCAAAACTATAGTTCAATAATACCAAACCAGATTACTGGCACTGATACAGTCAACATACAGAGAATCCCCACTGGGATTCTCTGTGTTGCATTTTTCCATTCACATCCACTTGCCTCTTACCCCCTCACCCCCCACCCTCTCAATCTTTGGCAGACACTAATCTGTTCTCCATTTCTGTATCTTTTTCATTTCAGAACGTTATATATTTTCTCATTTCGGAATCACACAGTACGTAGCCTTTTGGGATTGGCTTTTTCCGCTCAGTATAATTCACTGGGGGGATTCACCCAGGGTGTTGCTTCTGTCAATGGTTCCTCCCTTCTGATTGCTGTCTAATATCCCATGACATGCATGTGTCACAGGTTCACCTCTCCCCCACTGAAAGACGTCTGGATTACTTCAACTTTTAGTTATTACAAATAAGGATGGTGTGATCATTGACATCCACGTAGAAAACCTGATGGAATCAACAGTGAAGCTTCTCGAACTGACAATTTTCTTTAGCAAGGTTGTAGGATACCGGATCAATATACAGAAAAAATGTCATCTCCGTAACTATAACAAATGGAAACTGAATTTTAAAAAAAAGGCAATACCACTTAGAGCAGCATAAAAAAGTAAAATGCCAGGTGCCTGGGCAGCTCAGTCAGTTAAGCAACGGACTCTTGATTTTGGCTCAGCTCATGATCGCACACTTCACGAGGTCAAGCCCTGCACTGACAGCAGGGAACCTGCTTGGGATTCTATCTCTCTCTGCCTCTCCCCACTCATTCTCTCTCTCTCTCACTCTCTCTCTCTCTCTCTCTCTCTCAATAAATAAATAAACATTAAAAAGAAGATGACACGAATGAATGGGAGATACACATGTCCATAGGCAAAAAGAGCCAGTATTGTTCACATGGTCATTCCTCTAATTGTAACCCTATATGCAACACAATCCCTACCAAAATCCTAGTGAGCTTTCCATAGAAATTGACCACTTGGTTCTAAAATCCATAAAAAGGGAAAAGGCAGAGAATCACCAGAACAATTTGGAAAAAGAACAAAGTTAGAGGGCTAACATTCCCGATCAACATAAATGAATCTCAAATATGCAGAGAGAAGGCAGTCAGGCAAAACAATAATACACAGCACGTGGCTCTGTGTGCAGAAAATCTCAGTGAATGCACAATGAGGTGTAGTGACAAAACAGGCGATTGGTGGCCCCCGGGGCTGGGCGGGGGAGGGGTCACAGGATGGAGGGATTAGGAAGAAGCAGCAGGGAACTTTTCATGACCCATATCTTCATTATTTGGATCGTGCTACTGTTTTCACAGGCGCATACATATGTCAAAGCTAATCAAATTATACTCTTCTTATTGTGTGCCGGTTGTATGCCAACGTAGCTGTTAAATGAATTAGAAAATGTAACTTGTGAAGTCGTAATAATGAAAAGGCTCTTTCCGCACCCCAACCCCCATGGGTAGGCTGGAATTAGGAAGTGAAACTTCCTGTTTGGTGAGCACGAGGTGCAGGGAACCAATGGGAAGTTTTCCTCCTTCTGAAACAAGAGAACAAGGGTAAACACACCAAAGGTGACAAAATCTGTGCCCTGAACTGGCTTTGGGCGTTCTACACAGGGCTCTTTGCAAATTTACTTTGTAAAATGAACTCTCCCTAGTTTTAATGATGCCCGAAACTCCTTCAAGAGAAATCAATGACTTTTAAGTATGAGAAGTTAATAAAAACATTGATTACAGCAAATATCCGAAATTGATGTAACGAGACAACACTTGGGTTTTTTTGCAGGTTTATAGCAGTACCGAATTATTCACAGATGTTCAGTGTGTGTGCATTTCAGCTTGTAAATGTAGAAGCAGCTGATAATCCGTAGTAGTTTAAATTCTAAGCTCCTAACAAAAAACACACGTCTCTTAAAAAAACAAAACAAAAAGAGGAGCTCTTTTTACCAGAACTCCACTGTCTGATTATTCCATCTTCACAGCACACTCCTAAATTCTTGGAGGGCATAACAGATCAACAGGAATGCTTTATGGCTCGTTCCTTTCATAAATAGAGAATATTCTGTATTCGAAAAAAATTTAATGTTTGTTTTGAGAGAGAGAGAGAGAAAGAGAGAGAGCGGGGAGGGGCAGAGAAAGAGGGAGACACAGATTCTGAAGCAGGATCCGCTCTGAGCTATCAGCACAGAGCCCGATGTGGGGCCTGAACTCACAATTCGTGAGATCATGACCCGAGCTAAAGTCAGACGCCCAACCTACTGAGCCACCCAGGCGCCCCTCAAAAGAGGGTGCTTGAGTTGGGGGGTGTCTTGGGCCAAAGGGAGTCAAAGGAAGGGAGCCTTTGAATTAACTAACTCCTGTTTCTTTTGTAAACAAACATTTCCCTTTTAAAATGCTTTTAAAAAAATTATTCCACATAATTTATCATAAAAACTTTCTATCCATATTCATTCCGCTTTACTCACCAAGAGCATAAACACGCAACTTTTGCCGGTGTCGTCACAAAATCAAAATGAAATGATTAACAATGAAGTGGGTTTCCGTGGAACACGGATATAGCATTTCTGTACCGGGCCCTCTAGAAAATAGTAGAAGATGAACCAAAAGTGTAGGACAATTTGTATCATGTAAACCAGCTTTGATAAAGAGATGGCGAGGGCCTCCCTCCAGCCGCACTCCTACTTCAGCATCTGCACAGAGTCCGCACAGAGTGGAGCTCGTACGAGCCCAGAGGTGTCACACAAAAGACAGCTCCTCCATTTCTGGGCGATTTAAAGCTCCTGCCTCCAATTCCAGTAAGATTACAGCACAATCAATGATTCCCTTCTCCTGTGATTTCCAGCAGCTCTCCCTGCCAATTAGCCCTTGGACGTGATCAAGCATCCCTTTACGAATCGTGCGTCGCGATCACCTGCCAGGTGGCACTAGATGGCACATCTGCATGCCCGCCAGTCGCCATAGAAGAAAGGGAACAGTAAACAGAGGAGAATTAGTTAGACATGAAAGCATTTTAATAAAAGGATCGAGGCAGGTGCCTGGAAACAGGAGGAAGCAGATGTTGGCCCTACCATGTTTAGGAGGAGGTGCGCTCTGAGCCAAACAGGAAACCGTAGCTATTTCCTGTCTGGTGTGGGCCACTGAAATCCGTTCAACTGTTCAGAGGGCACGGGAGAGATTGGTCTGGAGGTGGATTTGCATGGCCAATCCCGGATTGTGGGATTGCGCTATTTTATGGATAACGTAAGTTGAATAGACTGGATGTTGGTCTATCTCCGGGTGAGCCTTGGTTAACGAACGCGGCTCGCCCATCATACACCAACTCCTTTGCCGCGTGCGCCTCTTGGCTCGTTTAACCGGCAGGTGACACGAGAAGGGGCCCGCTGGGTGGTTCCCAAGGAGCTTCCTGGGATGGCTGCGGATGCGCTGAGCTCCGGGGCACCCCCGTGTCTACACTGCCTGCGGCACAGCCGTGTTATTTTACACTTTGAGGAAAAGTATACAGGTACCGAAAGAGAAACAAAACACGGTTCGTTCTGCCGGAAAAACAAATAGATAAGTATCAACAAAACTACTCCTCTCCCTGCCTGTCCTCCCCTTGGAATCCTGCTACTCTTTGCCCGTTCATTAGATGAAACCAAACGCTGAGTAACGCAGACATTTCTCAGCGCCTCTCTGCGGATGTCTGGTTATAGCACTTTGTCCCCGGGAGGCCGGGGCAGGGGGGCATGCATTTGCTTTTAGGTCTTTCTGCCAACTCGGTTTCCGCTAAGGAGCGTCCCACCAGACCGTGGCCAGTGTCTCCCCCTTGTTGGGACAATACCTTGGTCATTTATGTAGTGCGGATTTCCCCAGAGGTTGAGCGAGTGCCATTCCATTCCGGTTTGTTTGCATATCTCTTTTGCTACCCCCAAGTTCCAGGAACACGGTCGTGACAGTCCAAGTGCCAAGCAGGCCTGTGCGGTGGCTGCGAGGCTGGAGGGGGCTGTTGACTGAGGCTCACCAGCCACTTGCGCTGTTGGAGGCTGTGACTACGTGGGGCGGGCGGGGGCTGGTTCTGAGGGCAAGTCTATGAGTCCTATTTCTGGGTGTCTGGGGAGGCGTGTTAGGACTGGAGGACACCGTGGATCTAGATACAGAAGCAGACCAGGTCTCAACATGACTAAGTCAGGAGTTATTACAGGACTCGGGAGGCAGGGCCTACTTGCCAGGAGGCGGAAAACAGAGGGAAAAGACAGACATGGTCCAGCCCCTTCTCTCCCGGATGACCTGTGTGCCGATGACCTGTAGGTGGCCTTTGGGCCGGGGGAGGCTGAGCCCTCTTACTTGGGGTGAGAGGGACGCTCACAGAGGCCGCCTGTGATCGCTCACCGCAGAGAGCTGAGCTGGTTCCGGGCAGAGGCCCCAAGCCGGGCAGCAGACCTCCCAAGTGCAAAGAAGGGTGGTCTTCAAGGCCACCAAGAGTTGCCGAGTCTCTCAGGATGTGTTTCAGCTTTGACTGGCGGCACAATCAACCGAGAAACTCATTCACGTGCAAATTCCCAGGATTCTATCCTGACCTGCCCCAAGCAGACCCTCCAGGGGCCTGCAGGAGAGGCGGTCTCCAGCCACCCTTGAGTCTGCAAACACCTGAGCCATGCTTAGGTGCCACTCTTGGCTTGATATCCAATTGGCTGTTGACCTTGTGCTGCACGCGTCTTAGCGGTCCCACAGGGATGTCCGTTTGGTTTCTGGCTATTGGGTAAAATAAAGGCGATTCCTTTTAGGACTTGGAAGTCTACCCAGAGTTGCCAAGGTGAGGACTCCTCCGGCCACCAGCTGTCATCCACATCCATGTTCTCATGTGTCTAGATGATGTATTGATAAAGGTCCTCCTGACACTGTCAGGTCCGTGTCCCCAACACCCTCGTGCCGCAAGAGCTACGTGCCGGGCATTGGGTTAGGTGCCGTGCACGGTGAATATGTTGAACAAAATACATTTCTCCAGACTCTCGAAGAGCACAGAGAACACACATCCCGTATTGCAAGAAGCAGGCCTGTTGGTTGACATAAAGTCCATTTGGATAAGACCATACAAGGAGAGCTCCTTTCTGCCAAAGGTAGTGAGGGGGGGATCCACGAGGGAGCAGGGTGGGCTGGTCTTTCTTGGTGTCCAAACGTGAAGAGCACGAGGCACTCTGCATGTGGCGTGGTAGGGCTGGCGGGGAGTGACCCACGAGGCCCATGTGACCGCTGTACAAAGTGCAGGGTGGATGGCGGATGAGAGCAGGACAGATGGAGGAGAGGCCTGGAGCCAGGTTGCTTTTACGCACATGAGAAAACGGAAGTTTATTTTTTTAGTAGCATTTGGTTCATGGAAGATGAGCACACCATATACTTTTACAACCCCCAACTGTTTTATGTTAAATAATAGCTGAGTTCACTAAGTCGAAATAAAATAAGTCAAAAAATACACACACAGAAGAGATGCCAGATCCTTCTTGCGTGTATAGATAATCAGAGAAGTTATCTGTGGCTTAGGGTCTCCACACGGGAGCGGCCATATTCCTGGGAGTGTCCCTGCACCGGGCCCCTCTGCACCCAACTCCATCACCAACAGAACACGCTCTGTGCACATGACACACAACTGTGCCAGAGAATGAACCGGTGGGCACAGCAAGGCAGACCAGAGTTCATGGCTGCTCTGGGACCACGGCAACCCCAGCTGGGGCTGCTTCTCCCATCTGGCCTCACCTGCGACGGATGCCCATCTTTACACAACCAGAAAAGTCCCAAACCAACCCCAGGAAACCAACGGCAGCGGATGTCCTTCTCCCCGACCCCAGCTCCATGTTTCAGGACTTGGACTTTAAGGTAAGTTTTTCCAAAAATAGGACTCAAGTCACATTCATGGTTTACAGTCTTATTTTTTCCTATAGAAGAATCCATGGCAGCATACAACTGACTTCACCCTCTTTAAAAATAGCATAAAAAACAACTCAGTGCGGAATTAATATTGTACATGTTTTGTGTAACAGACTCTTTGTGTGCCCTTTAAGATCCTGAGAAGGGAAGAGACAGGAGGGAAGAAGGTAGAAGCTTTGTAGAAGAAGGTCTAGAACTGACACTCTGCAGTGAACCTACACTTTTTCATTCCAGTAAGTGTGGATTGTTGTTTTGGGGTCAGGTGATATAGTTCAAGTTCACAAAAGTAGAACCAGGAAGGCCAACTGGGCGAGCCGTCCTGTGGACCAGACTTGGGTATCGAGATGGTGGTAGAGGGGACCGGCAGTGGCCGGGCCCCTGATGTGTTTTGCAGTGAGATTGAGAGTAGGTTCTATAGGGGATGCTCCCCATCACAAATTTAATAACCCTTTAGCGATACAGTCGTAGTTTGTTGCCATTATTTTATTCCTGTGAACAGCGGGTACGCAATCTTGCACACTGGCGTTGAGTGAGTCACACGATTATAAATGGAACTGCTGAACCCAAGTACGTCCACATCGAGTTGTATGCATTCTGTCAAATTGTGCTACGTAATGGTTGTGTTATTTTCCACCCACCACAGATCACACGTTTCACTTAAACTCCATCAGCCCTAAGAGTTAGTGTACCTTTAAATCTCGGGCAAATTTGTAAATGAAAGATGATGTCTCATGATGGATTTCACTTGTGTTTCATTGACCATGAGTATGGTCAAGTCTTTATCCGTGTGTTGATTGAGCATTTTTAAGTCTTTGTTTTCAATGTCTGTGCACCTACTTTATTTATGCTTCTACTGGTTTGTTGTGTCCGTTTTGTTTTGTTTTGTTTTGTTTTACCAGGTTTTGTATGTCGTGGAAATTACACTATGGTCATCTGTCTTTGGGCTTGGGCCACCTTCCAGCTGCACCCTGGTCCAGACAATACTTACTCAGAACAGGAAATGATGTAGCTGGAACCGTCCCCAGCACTCTGGGAGCATTCACCGTAATGTGATTTGGTTTCCCTCTTCCTGAGCAAGACTATTTTCTAGTCTATGATAAGCACCTTCCATTTAGTAATTACAGGAACACAATCTCACCAACTTAGATAATCATTATTTATAATGGGGATTTCAAGCGTACTTCTCATCAGTGAGTTTGGCTAAAATCAAATATTGTATTAAATAACTCCTCGAGCATATTGTTTTCTTAACAATCATGTTCAATTTGTGGAAAGGTTTATGTACTAGAATAGGGGAAATAGCCCAGAAGGAACAGTTTGTAAGAACAAGTGTTGGGCGCAGAGCTACGTCTGGGAGCCGAGAGGATTAACAAAGGAAATGTTGGCCGAGGTTGCCAAGGACAGAATACCGTACACAATCACATAACAATGCCTAAGAGCATTTGAGGCAGAAAGAGAGTTATGCGCTATCCTCAGTCACTGGGTGTTAGAACTCTCTTTGGTGCTATATAACTGGACTAGACGTTGGGCGTTCACGATAAGCCATGCAGTCATTGCGTCCTACATGGGGGCTCGGAGTTTGGAAACACTGCCACCTCCAGATGCAGACATAGCCACTCCAAGGCTTCCTGGGGGAGGTGAGCCTCAGTGCTTGGGGGGAAAGCCCTATTCTGATCATCCAGAAAGAGGTGTTCTAATGAAGCCTTAGCTTTCATAGAAATAGCATTAGCTTGGAGCGTCTGGTCAACAAGGACAGGTGACAGGAAAATAAATTAGAAAGAGGTGATGTACGTAATGAAGTGATTTTACATCCGTGGCGTATTTCACTTGGTCTTCCTTGCCGTCCAGCCAGCCAGCCCTGCTACATCCAGCCAACATGGGATAAGAGGCACTGCAAACCCGAAGTCATGAACCGGGTAGAGTATGCCACTGGGTTCGCAGGATCTCGGTCTGATGATGTTGAACGCGGGCTCTGTTCACTTTCTTTGCGTTGTCGAGGATTCCAGAGAGAAATAATAGCCCATGCTGCCGACTGCATCAACGTCCTTGCGTCCTGGAAACAGTCGGATTGGTGTCCACTGGGCCGAGGAATTCGCCTCCAGGCAAACGTTCTTGTTGGTAAAACTCAAACATGGTCTGTGTAAATACTATCACATTTCTTCTAGGAACTTAACCACCATCTTTGCAAGCTTCCCTTAAGAGTACATGTTTAAAAGAGTTACATAGAAAAGGCAAGAAAATGCCACCAACCCACCTTTGCATGCCGCCCCCTCCCCGTGGAGCCAGGGACTCTGGAAGCCAGCCCCATGGCCACGCTGAATCCCCCAAGTATAGGTGCGGGCGCACTGACGTGTCTTCATTCCACATTCTACGTCATAAGAGACACAAGCCTCTCAAGGTCTGTGTAGGACACGTTTCTAAGGGGCGGTCAACGTTTGGGCTCCAATAGGGACAGTCCTATAAAAACCTGTCTGGTTTTATGATTTCCCTCTTAGGATCAGATTTTAGACTCTTCCCTTCCCCTTTGAAAGCATTTCTCTGTGAAAGAAAGTCTTACAGGCAATTAGCCAAGATTGAACCTTTCAAATTAACCCACCCCTGTGTGATTTATCAGCCATCTGGAACGTCCAGGTGAGCCTTCAAGAGAGCAACCTGCCGGCTGGCACTTCAGGTCGGATCTCCGCTCACACACGCTGCATAGACCTGGGCAGGTCAGGTTGCTTTGGGAGCCTGGAGGACTCTTGTAAAGTATGTGCACCTTCCAAGCAGAACTTGAAATCCAGTACGTGTATAATGTTAGGTCGAGAAATCTGGACTTCTTCTCAGCTAAATTTTTGCCTTTTTCACACAGAGGAAAAATAATTTTAAGGCTAATTTTTTTTTTTTTTTTTTTTTTTTAAGAAAGAGATCGACGGTCTAAGAATAACATAATGAAAGTACGTCCGGGTCATGAGACTAGACATTTTTTTTTTCATTTTTTCAACGTTTTTATTTATGGGACAGACAGAGACAGAGCATGAACGGGGGAGGGGCAGAGAGAGAGGGAGACACAGAATCAGAAACAGGCTCCAGGCTCTGAGCCATCAGCCCAGAGCCCGACGCGGGGCTCGAACTCACGGACCGCGAGATCGTGACCTGGCTGAAGTCGGACGCTTAACCGACTGCGCCACCCAGGCGCCCCAGAGACTAGACATTTTTTAATC